ATCCAATCCAGCCTCCAAAGCTTTGTCTGTAGAATAAAGAGTAACTGTTTTCCTGGCTCACCCAGGCACCATTGTTAGGAACCAAACAATTTTCCTTCAAAGCTGCTCTGAGCTGCCAGTGTCTTGGGGTTACCAGGGCCACATTATGTGCTAAGGACATCCAGCTAAGGGGGTTTGCATAAAGGGTAGAAAACAGTCCTGGTCTCCCACCTCCACGGCTGTTTGTAGTATTTGAAAGTTGAACCAGCCCTGAGAGGAAGTTGCAGTGCCTTTTAAGGGATCCATGGGTCTCACAGAGGTGTGCCTCAGCAGCAGGCGCTGAAGGCCTCGGGATGTTCCTGTGGGGGAAGCACCTGCCAGAGCGCAGGTGTCCTGGTGATTTGTTTCCTTTTTAATTAAAATGGCACGTGCTATTTTCTGAGAGCGTCTCCTGCATGTGTGGCTGTGCATGCCCAGTGTTAGAGGAGCCAGAAGAGGATCTGTATCCCCTGAAACTAGAGTTACAGATGGTTGCGAGCCATCATGTGGGTTTTGGGAGTCAAACCTGTATCCTCTGGAAGAACGACTCAGCTCCCCAGTGCGCAGACATCTCTCTAGACTCCAGGTGATTTTTGTTATCATAGGGAAGAGCTTTTGTGCTCAGAAGAATTGGAAAACTGGAGCAGGCGAGATGGGTCACTGGGTAAAGGCACTTGTCTCCAAACTCAGTGACCCATGGTAGAAAAAGGAAGCCAATTTCTGCAAGTTTGCATCTTCTGAGCTTAACAAGGACACTGCATGAGCGCACGCACGCGCACGCACGCGCACGCACACAGAGTGAAGATTCTGCTAAGGGTTCATCTACAACTTATCAGCAGGTTTTGAGGCACAGCAAAACAAAACACTCATGCTTAAACTTTTATCATTCCTCATGATTTTGTAGGTCAGACGGAGCATCTAATTTGGGGCTAGGTGGAATAACATGACTTGCATATTTGGTGGTTGGCCCAATGTCAACTGGTACAGGGAGATTTTTGCCTCTGTCACCCACCAGGCTAGCCTGGCTCATGTGCTTCCTGATTGCTTCAAGGTTCCCAAGGGCTCCAAGGGCTCCAACCCCTCTTCCATGGAGGCGGTTTGACTGCCCCTGCACCTCAGAGAAGGCACGCAGCTTTCTCAGGGTCTTGTGGCTGCTCAGTAGCTGAATCAGGATGGAACCAACAGCTGGGCGGGTGGGAAGCTCTTATTCCCTCCGTCTACACTGTCTTGGGGGTCTTAAGGGATGGCGAGGGCGTACTGGCGTCGCGTGCTGCTTTTTTTTTTTTTTTTTTTTTTTTTTGTATCTGAGACAGGGTTTCTCTGTGTTGTTTTGGAGCCTGTCCTGGAACTCACTCTGTAGACCAGGCTGGCCTTGAACTCACAGAGATCCGCCTGCCTCTGCCTCCCCAGCGCTGAGATTAAAGGCGTGCACCACCAACGCCCGGCTTCGCATGCTGCTCTTGAGATGGGAATCATTTCTCTTTTCCTTGGCTCACTGATTCTAGAACTTTGACTTCCAGAACTTTCTACAGTGTAGACCTTACCCTCTTCTCCGTTCCCACTGTTCTCTGTTCCTGCTGGGCTCTCTACCACCCTGCACAAAAACTGGTTTCTGGGAAGCAGATGTGATGCCTTGCTTCTGCCCTCCCTGCCCTTCAGGGCCATCCCCGAGGGGGATGGGATCCTCTTCCATTCCTGGGAACAGTCCCACATTGCTGGGAAGGGTCCCACAAGTCAGAGCTGAACCAATGATTTTTCTCTGCTTCCCTTTGACTTGACTGCAGAGGAAGGACCACTAGGCTCAGAAGCAGCATCTGACGCCTCCAGACATGGAGTCGTGAAAGCACCCTCCTCTGGAAGGGAAGGAAGACAGTTGCTGACCATGTGACCACATGATTGTGTGACAGTGAAGCCTGGAACATCAGCGACCCTCAAGTGGGCCCCTGTAGGGTTAAGGATAAATTGATTTCAGCCCACAGCAAGGAGAGATTTCACAGATCGCCATCCCCACCAGAAAAATCGACAACACTGTGCTTGCCAAAAAAACCTTCATGATAGAATGAAAATGAAACTTTATGATAGATGATTAAAAATAGCAATTAACAGGCAGATCTCTGTGAGTTCCAGGCTAGCCTGGTCTACATAGCAAGTTCTGGGCTAGCTAGAGATAAACAAAAAGCCAAATCAATTTCTCTTTTCCAATGTTATTCTTTATTTTTCTATCCAAAAGAGAGTGTATTTTCCCACTTCTATGTTTCCTAATGGTGGGGTGTAATTAAAAACTGTTTCATTTCAGATTGACTCTTTTTCACATTTTCTCTACTTTTTCATTTGAGGAGAGGTTATTTTTAAAGCTCCTTTTCCCTCTGATGCCACACTGGAGGCTTTGGATTCTCCAACTCTCCCCTTTCCTCATGATGAAACTGATTAGTATTCCATACGGAGCAGGAACAATTGGCTTTGCCGGAGACCCAGGAGCTGGGATTGTTCACTTGGTTCTCACTTCCTGCTGGAAATCCTTATGCTTCCATAGATAAATATCTCGCAGACTTGGGCTCTGTGCCTGGTGTGGCCTTTGGTGGTCAGAAGTGGCAGCATCCTGCTCAGCCGCCTCCGGTGACGCGCCGTGCTCCGTAATCGGGTACGGAATAAACTCTGAAGGGCAACCCCATCCTTGTTGCCTCTGGCATGCTTTAGACAGCTCTCTGCTTTTGTCCAGGGTTACCTCCCGTCTTGTGCAGACCTGAGGCTGAGGGAGGCTGTCCTGACTGCTGCAATGTAGACACTATAGGTCTACAGGTGCGAGGGAGGGGGGTCCCGCTCCCTCCTGACCCACACAGAGGAGTTTAGGAATCCAGATCTTAGATAAGAAATGAATGGCAGTCTTCAGGCCAAGTGGCTCAGCTCAGGGACTGGTATGTGATCGTTCTGGCCAAAACAAAGCAGCCAACAGACAATCCAAGACAGAAAAGTTCTGCATAGGTTTCAGGGCAAGAGCGTTTTTCTGTGTGTGTGTGTGTGTGTGTGTGTGTGTGTGTGTGTGTGTGTGTGTGTGTGTGCGCGCGCACGCGCGCACGTGTGTCTGTCTGTGAAAACCAAAGGTTAATGTCAAGTGTCTTCCTCAACCACCCCTCATCTTATTTATTTATTTTATTATTGTTGTTTTGAGATAGCATCTCTCACTGAACCCAGAGTTCAGCTAGACTGGCAGGTCTGAGAGCCACCGGAATTCTCCTGTCTCCTCCCCAGTTCTGGGATGACAGGCACACCCTATGGCATCTGGCTTTTTTATGTGGGTACTAGGAGACTAAACTCAGGTCCTCAAGCTTTCTAATCAAGCAAAAGCAGGTAGATGCCAAGACAAAAAGGTGCTACAGTCACCTTGCTGCCTGCCTGGGAAAGTATCCAGCCCACAGAGAGAGAGGGGGTAAGCAGCTCTTAGACGACAGAGCTGATGGTCCTGGGACTAAGGTAATACCCAGCATCTGGACCATTTCAGCTCAGTGGACCAGTTAATCCCAGTTAATGCATGTACCAACCAGCATGGAGTTTTCTCTCAGCCTAGACCTGAAGCACCATTGCCAGAACAGACAACTTTTGCCAAAGAAATGTGAATCACAGATCACGAGCATGGTCTTCTGAAATACTATCAGGACAAATGTGTGAACACATACAGGAAAGATGATGAGAATCTCTCCCCACTGTGTCTCAAACAAAGAACTAAATGACAGACCACAGGCCTCTGCTAGCTTTCAAAAATCCTAGATTTAACACCAAACAAAGCCCAAGAAGTTCTTTGACAAATTCTTTCAAGGAAGTTCTTTGAGTAGCCTGGCACCAGACTTTACCTTCACCGGATCTCAGCCCTTAAGGCCAAGGTGTCTCCTTTCCTCCCTCCTCTCCCCTTCTTCCCCCTCCCCCTCCCTCCCTCTCCCCTCTCCTCTTCTTCCCCTTTACTCCTCCCTCCTACCCTTCTTCCTCTACCTCTCCTGGAAGTCTTATAAACTATCCTTTATGGAAAGTGGAGAGCTGATTCCATAAAGTTGTCCTCTGATCTCCACACACATGCTGTAGCCCCCTCAGACCCAGCAACCTTATTTTAAGGTCTTTGAGTAGTCAGGCAGTAGTAGCACATGCCTTTAATCCCAACACTTGGGAGGCAAAGGCAGGGGGATCTCTGAGTTTGAGGCCAGCCTGGTCTATAAAGTGAATTCTAGGACAGTCAGGTCTGTGACACAGGGAAACCCTGTCCCCAAACCGCACCCTAAAAGGGAAATTTACCAGGTGGTGGTGTCTCACGCCTTTAATCCTAGCACTTGGGACACAGAGGCAGGTGGATCTCTGTGAGTTTGAGGCCAGCCTAGTCTACAGAGTGAGCTCCAGAACAGGTTCCAAAGCTACAGAGACCCTGTCTCTTAAAAAAAAAAAAAAACCAAAACCAACAGAAAAATAAAAAAACAACAAAACCCCAAAACCCAATTCCCCCAAAAAACACCAACCCCCCCCCAAAAAAACAAATAAAAAAACAAAACAACAAACAAACGAAGCCCAAATGGGAATCAAGTGTTGGCAAGGGTATGGGAAAGGAAGGTTTACTGCTGGTGGGAATGTAAACTAGTGACATCCGTATAGGCAGTCCTCAAAGCCCTGAAAACAGAACTACCATGTGGCCAGCCTTTGTCCTTCCTAGGCGTTTACCCGGAGGACTCTAAGTCACCAAACCACAGAGGTACACTCGCATCCGTGTCTATTATCCCACTGCTGACAATCTTTAAGAAATTGAACCAGCCTGGATGTATATCGACAGATACTGGTGTGGTTGGTTTGAATGAGAATCACCACACGGGTTCCTGTTTAAGTCCCCAGCGGGTGGCGCTGATTGGGAAGAATTGGGGGTGTGGTCTTCATAGAGGAGGCGTGGCCCTGGGGCAGGCTTGAAGTTCAGAGAGATTTCGCCTTCCCCGTGGTTGCTCTTTGCTTTCTGCTGATGATCAAGATGTGGCTCTCAGCTGCCGCTCCAGAGCTGTGCCTGCCGACCTGATCCCTGCCCTGATGGCCACGGACTCCTGACTCTCTGAAACTGCAAGCCCCAATTAAATGCCCGCTTCTGTAAGTTGCCTTGGTCATAGTGTTTTGTCACAGCAATAGAAAAGTAACTGATTCAAATGGATAAAGAAAATATATATGTTTACAATGGAATTTTATTCAGGTCTTTAGAGAATGAAATTACAACATTTTTAGGAAAATGGCTGAAATGAGACATTATTATGTTAGCTTAAATCAAAAAAATCAATGGCACTTGTTTTCTCTCATATGGGGAATTTAGGTTTAAAAATTGTCTCTCCTCTCTCTCTCTCTCTCTGTCTCTCTCTCTCTGTCTCTCTCTCTCTCTCTCTGTGTTGTGCTGTGAAACTAAAAATGAAATCATTATATGGGAGGAAGAATTTGAGGAGGATGGTGGGGAGGGAGAGTAACAAAATATGCATGACACAATGACGAAGGGGGACTAATTTGTAGGAGGGTGGAGATTGGGAAGAGGAGGTTGGGGGACAGGGAAGCAGGGAGGGCAGTGTTGAAGTAGGACAAGTAACAAGGCATATTAACATATATATGAAATGTCATAATGAAATACACTACTTGATATGCTAATTAAAATAATAATAATAATAAGTCAATATTTCCACCCACCATTAGGGCTGCCTCTCACTTGTTCTACCCTGGGTGTGTTTTCCAGAGAACCTGTGTTTCAAACTAAAGGTCAAAGAGGAGATGAATTTCAGTTGTGAGCTACAGAAGGCCGGATCTTTCTCTAATGTGATTTGCTTCCTGTTGCTAAAGCCCAGTCCCTTCAAAGGAGACTGCTAACTAAATGAGGCATCTCCTTGCCTTCGTCCCTGGGATGAAGTAGAGTAAGCAGCATCAGTGTGACAGGCCAAGAAGCTTTATTTATTCCCTGTGGATATCAACATGTCACCCGAGAGGCTGGAGTGACAGAGGTGACCCATAGCCTAGGGAGAAAATGGCCTGGATCTTTGACAGAAGTAAGCAGTGTACAGTTCCTCTTGGGAGGAGGGAGAGGGGGTTACAATGAGGAAGTCGTATCCATTCCACTGAGCAATTAATGCCACTAATTTTCTTGAAAAAACATTTTCTTTCAAGCTACAGAGGCTATTTTAACCCCCATCTAGATGCAATGCACTAATGACTGCTAATGGATACATTCTTTTAATAAATAAAGAGGCACAAGAAATTTGCCAGATATTAAACACAGTCCCATGAGTCTTATCTGAGTCTGTAAGGGTTCTATCTTAGGGAAGGGAATATGACTCTCAGAGGGTAAAGAGTCTAGTTTTCCTCGGTGCCATCTAAATTTACCGCTAGGAAGAACAGTACCTCATTGGCCTATCCTAGGATGTGCTGAAGGGTCCATGCCTCAAGTTAAATTATATATTTCCTTTTGGTGGCAAAGAGAATAAGAAACTGGCACCTCTGTGCTCTTTTCTGGGCATTGCAGCTCCAAAGGTCTGTTGTGCGTCTGCCTCTTGGACTGTCTACTGTGGACTCCAAGAACTTGTGTGAGCTGTCATTATTTTGTTCATTTTATTTTTTCCTTTTCCTCTTTCTCTGTGTCTTCCTTGCCCTCCAAATCCTCCATTGCCTCCTCTTTGTTGTCTGTCTGTCTGTCTGTCTGTCTGTCTGCCTGTCTATTCTTGAGGCTGGTTTTCATGTGGCTCAGAATGGCCTGGAATTTACTGTGTGGCCGAGGCTGTCATTGACTATCTCAGTCTCTCACTCTCTAGAGCTGCAACTACAGACAGGTGTGAGTCTCTAGAGCTGTAACTACAGGCAGATGTGCACCTCTGGAGCTGTAACTACAGACAGGTGTGCACCTCTGGAGCTGTAACTACAGGTGTGCACCACCACAACCTTAACTCTTCTTTCCCAGTACCTTACACAGCGTGCTTTTGCCTGTCTGTTATTTTAAAGTCTATTCCTGGGGGGAATTTCTCGAGATTCAAGGAAGCCCTAATATTTTACTTCCTAGTGTATAGAAAGAGATCCAATAAATCAATGAGGGGAAATCTGGAAGAAAAATAGACACAGAAAATAAACCAGAACTTCAGAAAAGAAGAAATGGTCAGTAGTTACATGGAAAGGTGAGCTGTAGTATTTTTTTTCAATGTGTTGGCTACATTTGTTTGTTTCCTGTGCCGGGCATTGAACCTTGGGGTAGCTCATGTTTAGCAAGCACTCTACCATTGACCTACATTCCTGGTCCCCCAACTTGCCATTTTCAATTCAACATGATGCCTCTAAGTTTCATCCACTTACAGTATCACCTGTAGATGTGCCCATTTTCATGTTATTAACATTTTATTGCATGTGAGTTTTACAATTTCTTTCTCCCTACAGCTCAGGATTATAAAATAGACAAAGGATACAGAGAGCTTTCAATAAGCAGGAGATTAACAAATGAAACATTATCTAAAGATAATGTTTTCCTAGGAGATTGATTTGCCGAGTAACAAGACACTCCAAAGCAGGGCTGTTGGCTGGTCTTTGGTCACACGGAAGCATGCGGTTCCTGCGAGAGTCTTCGCCTGTGGTGCTCAGATGGGTCTTCCTCCTTCCCAGTCTGGCCTTGATGTCTCTGTGTGCTGGCTGGAGAGTCTCAGACTCTGCACCTTGCTTCTCATATACTCTCCCCCCCTTTCCCTCTTCCTTCTCGCTCTCCTCCCCTTTCTTCTTCTTCCTTCTTCTCTTTCTCTTTTTTCTCTTCCTCCTCCCTCTTCATTCCTTTCTTCTAGAAATATTTATTTGTTCTTTCTATGTAGACAGCATCCAAATAATATTCGGGTGACTAAAATCTGATGGCAATTAAAATGTATTAGCTTTAAAAAAAGATGTATTCTTATCAGGGATACCCTACATACAGTTCCTCTTGGAGATACCCAGAGTGGGGTGTAAAACCAAACTTTAAAACTCTGAAAACTTTGGAAGGAGCAAAGAAAAACCATTTATCCTTTTTTTTTTTTGGTGAAAAGATATGGAGAGATGACACGATGTCCTCTTTCCTCAGGGATACAGGGAGGACTTGCTTACAGCCAGCTCTGTCTCTTAAATGGCCCACCCTAAGAGAAGCTTGTCATCGGAGTTCATTTCTGTCCCCATCAGGGTCAGAGCACAACTACAGGTTGTGGTGGCTGCCAGCACACATGAGACTTGTCTAGAGGAGCCGAACGACCCAGGTCAATATCTCCTCTCTTGGGATCAGCTTAGGTTTCTGCCCCTCCCAACAACCTGTCAATGACCTGGTCTGTAATTAGCTCATCTGCCTGACTCCTGTCTCCTGTCTCTTGTTTACCTTAACCCCCTGGCCTGCTTCAACCAATCATCCCAATCGTAGACTTACGGACCTTGGGTTTATCCCTGATGCTTGGTGGCCATAACCCTTTATATTTTCTATTCTCATTTAATTGGAAGGACAGCACATTCAAGTAATATCCTTAAAAAAAAGCTCCTTCCTGGTCTAGTCCAGTCCCGTAGCCCTCCACTATCAACAGCTGAGCAGTCAGTTTCCTTGCAGGTGACTTCCTGTGTTTCTGTAAATGTACATATATGTGTATTCTTGAACAAATAGGTGTCAACACATGTACATTGTTCTCTAATTCCCTGTCTTATTTAATATCCCATCACATGCCTTGGTCCACATCAGACCTATGTTCTGATCTAACTTTAATAGAGGCAATGCTCCACAGACTAGAGGCTCTTTTAATTATCTGGCCCATTTCCTCCTGGCCAATGTCAATGGTACTCCTTGTTTTATTTTGCTCTTATAAACAGTTGGCAGTGGCCCTTCACACATGAATGTTTGTATGCTTCTGTCAGCTAGTGTTGGCTCTGAAGAGCAAGCTTCCAGAAGGAACAGTGCTGACTGATGCATGCCTGGCCTCCTCACAACTGATATCCCTGACTTTGCTGTCTCCTGCCTGCCTCGCCTGAACAATCCACAGTCTGCCCGTTTGGGTTTCTCCTTAGACCCCATTCCCATTGCCTCTCTTGGAGGCTTTTCCCTGGAGGGCTATGTTGCTCATCTCCATTGTTATTTCTACTTAATTACAGTTTTTACCCCCTTGGCATTTAGCAAATAAATGAATGGATGGATGAATTCAGTAGTAAATTTTATTGATCTAAAAATGGGTGCCAGATGCAGATAGCAACTCCTTGGTCTTGAATGGACAGAGACACATAATCAACAACAAGTAATTGCTTAGATAAATGTTGTAAAGGACAGTGTGGTGACCCCATGGGATCACATATTTGAATGCTTAATCATCAGCCAGTGTTACTATTTGAAAATGATTAAGAGGTGTGGCCTTATTGGAGGAAGCATGTCACTGGGGGTGGGCTTTGAGGTTTGAAAAAGTCCATTCCAAACTCAGAGTCTCTCTCTTCCCACAGTCTATAGATCCACATATAAAACACTCAGCTACTTCTCCAGCACCATGTCTACCAGCATGCCAACATGTTCCCCACCATGATGACAATGGACTAAACCTCTGAAACTGTAAGCCAGCCCCAGTTAAGTGTTTTCCTTTATAAGAGCTGCCATGGTCATGGTGTCTCGTCACAGCAATGGAATGGGGACTAAGACAGACAATAAGGCAACTGGCACTTCTCGAGACATCTGCTGCTCACAGCCAGCTGATGCTTGCACACAAACTTACCCTATGAAGGACTGAGCTGGCGATCACAGGGAGAAGAAGGTTCCAGGCAAGAGTGGAGGAGCAAGGGATCTGAAGCAGTTGATTCAATTGAGCTAGGCAGGGATGCCACACCCAGGCTCCCCCAAAAGGAGAGCCCCACCACTCATAAGTTTGTGTACGTACAGGGTAGACACCCCTCTATAAAGCTAACACGGGAATGGAGCTTAGGAGCTTGTCTACGGGAAGTGGGATACAATCAGGGGGTAAGTCACCCCAGGTGAACTTTTAAAGTTGCGCTTTTCAGTTTATTCTCTCTCTCTCTCTCTCTCTCTCTCTCTCTCTCTCTCTCTCTCTCTCTCTCTCTCTCTCTCTCGTGTGTGTGTGTGTGTGTGTGTGTGTGTGTGTGTGTGTGTGTGTGGTCAGAGAGCAACTTTGGAGGCATTGGTTCTTTCCTTCTACCACACGGGTCCTGGGGATGAAGCCAGGTTGTCAGGCTGGCAGAACAAGTGCCCTTATCCACAAAATCATCTTGCCCGTCCCCAGTTTGTTTTCCACAGAGGGGATTTGATAGGAATGACTATTGACAGACTAGCTGAGCACGTAGAGCCAAGGAGTGACACAAGGAGCAGCTGTGCAAACCAGCCGTCACCGTCACCAAAGGGAGAATGGGGTGACGGTATTAAAGCTTAGAAACTCAGAGGAGAGTGTTGGGGTCTGGGGCCCCACCCTCTAAAGAGCAGGTCACTAGGCTGGTGCTGGTGTTTCAAGGGAGGGTGGACATGAAGCTGCTTCTCCAGGCACTGAACAATGCAAAGTAGATTAATAGCCGCTGCAGGAGCTGTTGCTGCCGTGATGTTCAGAGGACCGGTTAAAAGAGAAACTAACAGGTCAAAATGCTGGGGATGCAGACCAATGACAGAACAGTCGCCTAGCACCCAGCAGACCCTGGGCTGGATCCCCAGCACCAAAAGGAAAAGAAAGGAGATGTACAAGCAAGCAGAAGGGAGCAGGTTTCTGCCGAAGAGCTCAGCCAGGAGGAGCCGGCTGTCAAAGCAGGTGTTTGTATCCTAAGTTCCACCTGCAGGACCGTGAAGCTGGAATGTTGTGGTGCCCAGCCTCCCTTCACTGACGTGGTGAGGAAAGGCAGAGATGCAGGGAAGTGGGTACCGCTGGGAGCCATTTTCAGACTGTCCATGCCAGTCACCTTTCTCCGTGTGGCTGAGACCCATCTGGTGCTAAGCTTTCAAGACTAGTGACAGCCGTTCTGCAAGAGGGACACATTGGGAAGGCTCAGCTCAGTACTTGTTGAGTCTTCTGTTCCAATCAAATTATACTTTATCTCAAAGTTAATTCAAGGCTTATATAACGACTCCCATAAGTATTATTATGGTGCCGTATGGTAATCAGGCATCCATGTGGTAGGAGGCTCACTGAAGTGACTATAATTAGCATTGCTTCTACACAGCCAAATCCACTTAACTTTTGTCTTCTATTTGTTGTGTCTTCAGTATCTCCGCTAGCTCTCTCTGATATCACCCACCAC